CCCTCCATCCCCCCGTGTCCATCCTGGATCCCCCCGCATCCAACCTGTTACCCCCGTGTCCATCCCGGATCCCCCAATGTCCATCCCGGATCCCCCGTGTCCATCCCGGATCCCCCGTGTCCATCCCGGATCCCCAATGTCCATCCCGGATCCCCAATGTCCATCCCGGATCCCCCCGTGTCCATCTCGGATCCCCCAATGTCCAGTTTGGATCCCCCAATGTCCATCCCGGATCCCCCCGTGTCCAGTCTGGATCCCCCGTGTCCATCCCGGATCCCCCAATGTCCATCCTGGATCCCCCGTGTCCATCCCGGATCCCCCAATGTCCACCCTCCATCCCCCCGCGCCCATCCTGGATCCCCCCGCATCCAATATTTTAATGCTGATCCCCTTAATTATTTGAGTTATTTTAAATTTATAATCCATTCAGGCTTTTAAATTTTCCAAGTGACATGCACACACTGAACAGTTCTTGCGAACTTCTTGTACCTCCACTGGAAAAACAGAAACAATTTCCTTATGCATCAGCAGAGGCTGCTCTTAGGACTCCTAAATCTTTGAGTAGAACTTCAGATTTTTAGAAAGTTTATATATGGAGATGAAAAGACATTTTACCATAGGGTGAGTAGGTCCTACTCTGAAATACATTGCTTTTTTAACAATAATGAATAAAAATAAAGAATAAAGAATGTGTAATTGAAAATAGCTGGGAATTTCTTTGTTACTGAATGAGTTAACAAGTTTTCAGGAGTGAGTGGGCCAGTTTTCAGGGCCAGTTAAACCTGATGGTTTCATGGATTCCAGGTTATTTGTTCARGTCTTCCAGCAATGCCCTGTTTAAACCCACACGAGTCAAAGGCAGCTGCAGCCACTGTCGAGCCAGACAAGGGAGATGCAGCTCCTGTTGCTTATTCAAGGAGAGAGAACWCCGGGGGCAGGCAAAGTTCAAAAAGTGCCAGAAGCTCCGATRTGTGTCTGAACTGCCTTTGTCTGGAAAGCAGGTCTCAGGAGGCTGTGCAGCTTCCTGGATGAATGAAAACCTTCCCACTCGAGTGCAGAGCTGACTAATGCTGCTCAGACACTGAATCCTGCCCAAATCAACAGCTCCATCCCTTAGGTGCTGAAAACCCTGGAAGCTGCARTGAGGAGGATCATGCAGAGCACCAGGAGCTCTCACCCACCCACACAGGGTCTTTCCAGTCCACAGAAGTCAAAGAAATATTAAAGCTTATACAGAATAACATACCAAAATTTTTGCTCTATATGTAAGATTAATCAATCGTATCTGTACTGCATTACAGCTCATTTCTCCCAAATTTCATGTCAAGTGGTATGAAAWAGGTAAAAAAAGCAATTATAAAATGTTGGATTTACCCTGTAGGAGAGCAGTAGTCCATTGCTGTTGTACAGATCAGTTCTACCCTCTATGATATGAATGGTGATGGTACCCTGTGCAAATAACCTCACATTACTTCAAACTAAACTTCAAACTTTGATTTTAAAGCCCATTTTACAATTCAGAGCTGTTCCAAACAGGTTTTGACTCAGTGCATGACAGTGATAAAGGCGTCGCATCCTTTTAAATTCAAACAATGTGTAGCTTGAAGGTTTTGCTTAATTATAGATGGATTTTTGTCATGATCTCTTATTCAGGCAGGCTGAGGAGTAATACAAGCAGCAGCAAGCAATAAACATCTGACTGCCAGGGTTCTGTGAGSTATATGATGGTAAATTGCTCATGACAACAAAAGAATTGTCCTTTATTACTCTACTGTTTCTTCTTGACAGGGGAGGTCAGTAAAAGAGAGAAGAATCCCAAAACAGACACTCAGAAACGCCAGTTATCACACAGTGGGCTATCAAAAGTGGAGGGCATGGAAAAACAGGAACGATCCATTGTGGTTTTTAACATTCTTAATGTTCTCTGTGGTCCTTCAGTGTTTTCAGGAGGAAAATGAGGGGATTGCCCTGCCCTCCTCTGCTCTGTTCTGCTGCAGCTTCACTGCCAGTCTGGTGCATTTTGGGTACCACAATGTGAAAAATACATTAAACTAATAGAGAGTGTCCAAAGGAAGGCACAAGGATGGGGAAGGGTCTGGAGAGGAGTGGCTGAGGTCACTTGGTCTGTTCAGCCTGGAGGAGAYTGAGAGGATTGAGGTTTTCAACTCCTTCACGAGGGGCAGAGAAGGGGCAGCTCCGATCTCTGCTCCCTGGGATCAAGGACAGGACCCAAGGGAATGGCTGGAGCTGTGTCAGGAGAGGTTTAGGGTGATATTAGGGAAAAAAATATCACCCAGAGGGTGTTTGGGCACTGAACAGGCTCCCCAGGGCCATGGCATGGCAAAGCTCAAGGAGCTTTGGCCAAAACTCTCAGGCACACAGTGGGGTTGGAGAGGATTGTGAGCAGAGCCCTGGAGCTGCATTTCCATGATCCCTTTGGTCYTTTCCATGATTCTGTGACTCTATGAACCCAAACAACATAAATCACCCCACTTTACCCCACTTAAAGATCCTAAGACCGAAATTCAACGCATGTAATCCTTTATTGAAACATTTCTTGTGACTGCAGGCAGTGTTTCTTCATGGTGAAGGCCAYATAAATCTTCATTTTGAGAGTGTGGCACGCAGCAGTACATTATCATAAATAATAAATCATTGAAATTCCAAGAAATTTCATCATTTTTACATCAATACATCACATGCTAAAGCACAAGCTGGCTGAATACTTGATCACTGGAGATGTTTCAAAAAGGATGGGGYTTTTCCTTATGGCCAAGATGATCAGTTCACAGGCACTGTGGTGATATTTCACTGTAGGATAAAAGTTGTTTGGGTTAGAGGGGGAAGCACAGAGAGTTTAGGTGACTCCAGGTGCATTTGAGAGGGATTTGAAACTCCTGCCTCGGTGGCTGTCAGGCAGCCTGGCGTGTCAGCAGCCCACAGAATGGATTTTTAATTTTTAATTTCACTTTGACAGTTTCCATTGCCTTCAAAAGGGCTTTATTCTCTTTGGAAGCAGCACTTGCATGCTCGCTGCTGTCTGCCTTTGATGAGTCTAACACCTCGATGTAAAATGCAGTGGGATTCTCAATAATATAAAGGGTTTATTTTGGGATGAAGGTCTGGATTTCAGGGGATCTGAATCTTTGTTAACACACATCTGCCTGGCTACTATCAATAAAACAATTTTGCCAAAACTTCTAAATAAATTAAGAGGTTGTTTCATTTTATAAGGGATAGCTTAAGAATGTGAAAGGCAGCATACAAGTGACTTTAGATGAAAAGCTGCCTTCTTCTTTTTTTTGGTATTTCAGGTTTGTTCCACTCATTATTATCCAGATGCTCAGTAAAATATTGGTCTAAATTAGCTGGATGGCCTGACTTAAATTAGACCTACAGAGTAAAGTTTAGGTCCTTTTTATAGGTGACTTAGAAATTCAGCTCTTACTGTAATGGGAGTTAAACATTTAACTTAAAAATTGTTCAAAAATTGTTCAAAAAATTGTCCAAAAGCACCAGCTGTTCAGCTTTGTCAGTAAGCAGGGATATTTGAAAAAAAAAAAAAAATCTAATTTCTCTATACCTCCTAAGCACTTCTCAGATTACAAACTCACAGCAGGCAGAAGTTTTCTATTCCTGTAGGATTGTGCATCACGAAGGCACTTGATAATTATTTATATTAGAGCACTGGTTATATCAGCTAGGTCATACCAATTAATTTATTCCATTTTCTTCACTAGTTTGTTAACTAGCTATTTGTTAACTAGAAAACTATTCTCCCGCAATGAAGCCTGAAATTGTGCAATTTTTTCAGCATCTTCTTAATACATTTGCTGAAGTAATCAGCTATGATCTGACTCTGTATTTATTCTTTAATATCTATTTCTGACTGCATAAAAGTCCCCTGGCTACTCATTAGAGAGGTGCCACTAAACTGAACTCCAAAGTTTTTAAGCGTGTCCCAAAAATTTGGTATCTGGCAAGTTTTAATGCCAGGAAATTTAGGAGAAAGAAAAGATACCAAACTCTGGTTTGCCTGCAGAAGTTAAAATTCACAGCATCCAGGGAATTGCAGCATGAGGATTTGGTTCATCACACTTCAGGTGTTTTTTATATTCCCATTTTACATCATTTTTATGGATAAAATAGAATATTAGAATAAACCAATCGTTAAGGGACATTCTCCCTTTTTCTTTCCCTGTCTTAGGCTGGTCTATGAAAATCATAAATGAAAAATGGATTCGCTTTTAAGCCACTAGGATTCTTTCTATTGATCTGAATAAATTCAGGGTTTCTCCAGATCATTTCAATGATGCATCACTTTTCTGAGAATCATTAATTCGGATGATCTTCCTTCTAGCAGAAGGAAAAACAGAACTCACTGTAAAAACCACCTTTGTCAGAGAGATTCACTGCAGGAACTTTGAGAGAACATCAGGTACTTGAAAGAGAGCTCAGTGCCTGCAGCATTCCCAAAAGCTGCTGGTGACAAAAGGACTTTTTGGGACAAAAACACCAAAATCTGGCACCCTGGAGTCAGCCACTGCAGGACCTGTTCCCTTCCTGGGCTCTGCAGACATTTAGCCCAAAATGCCAGGCTTAGAAATAAATCTGAGAAGTGAAATAGGTTAGCTCTGTGGAGCACAAACCCTGAGAGCTTCACCTTTATTACTCGATTATTATTAATGCACGTTTCACTGAAATTGTGTGAATTTTGTCCAATTCCAAGA